GGCCCAAATCGTGATTGGCGGAGGTCTTAATGTGGGTGGAGACGGCCCAAATCGTGATTGGCAGAGGTCTTAATGTGGGCGGAGACAGCCCAAATCGTGACTGGCGGAGGTCTTAATGGCTGTGTCCAAAACGACAGGCCGGGTCCTCCGGAGGACCCAGACTACCCGGTCGCGGCGGGCCGGGTCCTTGGTAGACCGGGAAGACCGGAAAAAAGAGTCTGTGAATTTGGACGGTCTAGCCTCCCCTCCTTACCCCGACGTACGTCATGTCACCTAGCAACTGTGACAACGCTAAACAAGCAAACTTAAATCAAAATTAGAAAAATATCGATTTATTAGCATTATTAATATCACAATGCATTATGGGATATGCTGGGCCGGGAGGGATCCATCAGACCAGTCCTTCGATTTGGGCCAAAGGAAGGACGTATTTGTCGGCCACATCGGAGGAGTCTTCGGTTTTGGACGGCCTTCGTCGCGGCGCTGTGACGTATGCGGCCGACAAATTCGGCCTTCGGAGGACCCGGCCTGCTGTTTTGGACACAGCTTACATCTCCCATAACTTTCTTTTACCCGTGTAATGACGACATCCTACCACTAGGTGGAGGTGCACAGGCTTCAGAAGTAGCAGGCAAAATGCGCCAAACGTTGGCTGCGCCTAATTTTGCTGTGGCCAAGTTGTACTGGGAAGTGGGGATTTCCACTTAAATTTAAATTTATTTTAGAACGCCCCCTCCAGTGGGAATTCCCTGTTTGAAAGTGGGAAAGTTCAGAATTCAGGAAGGCTCAGCCGTAGTTTGAGATGAGCAATGTTAAACACAAAACGTCAAAGTTAATTACAACTGGTCCTTTGAGGGCCACCTTACTGATCATGCGACCCTCAGTGAAAATGAGTTTGACCCTCCTGTTTTAGTCAGCCTGTTCATGTTGACAGCTTTTTGTGGATTTAATGTTTTATCCACATTGTAACCAAAGTGTCTTTTCCCCATTGAGCAGAGGAGAACATTTGGAAAAGTTTTTTTAACAAAGTTGTGTTTGATGGGGTGACACTTATCCTAAAGTGTTTTATTGTTTTTGTCAAAGATAACACAGACYTCGTACCGACAGGATGACCAGTGGGAACAAGAAGCCAACAACAAAGCGGTAGTAGTTGATCGGATGTTCCCACGGCTGCATGGGGTAGTGCTCAAAGCAGACGGACTGGTTCGTACGGTCTCTGCTCAGCTCCTTGTGGCGAAAGAAAACCACTCCCACGGCGATCTCCTTCAGCCAGATGATGGCGCTGACCAGCCAGGCTGCTGTCATCGAGCGCAGAGCCGTAAACCTGGTGATGGCAAACAAAAACATACAAACAAACAAACAAACAAACAAACAAAATGATTAATCTAAGTTAGTGTAGTTTAAAAGTTTGTTAAAAACCAAATGTACCAGATTTACATGTAATCTCTGGACAGATTTTTTATTTTATTTTGTTTATTTATTTATTTTTCTGAAATTTGGCTGCTTTTAAACCTAGTTTCGGTCCAATGTTTGTAGGTTTTATTGATTTAATAGAAGAAACAGGAACAAGTTGTGTCTTTGTGACAGGCTGCTGGTAACAAAAGGCTTTAAGATCCAAAATGCAAAACTAGTTTATTCAGGTTTAAGAGCTTTTTCATTTCTAAATTATTCAAACATTGTTGTTGAAAACTGAAAACGTCAATGTTTATGTCAATTTTATTTATAAAGCACTTCTAAAAATAGCTAAAAGCTGCGCCAAAGTGCTGTACAGTAATCAACAAATATCACAAAACCACAATAATTGCTAAAAATACATAATAAATCACAACCAACAATACTAAGAACAGATAAATTACAATGCCAGGCCTTACTTTAATTAAACGCCATTGAATAAAAGTGATTCTTAAGAAGCACTTTGGAGTTTTCCAAGCTATGAGCAGATCTAATGTGAAAAGGCAGGTTCTTCCATGGATTGTGAGAAGACACAGCAAAAGCACAATCACCTCTCCTAAATCTGTATCTTGGAACATCTGGAAGCATCTGGTTGTTTGACCTCAATGTTCTGGATGAAGAATGAAGATGCAAAAGATCTTGAAGGTAGTTTGGAGCAAGGCCATTCAAAACTTTAAAAACTAACAATAAAATCTTAAAATCAATTCTGTGAGATACAGGTAACCAGTGTAATGAAGCCAACACAGGTGTTACATGCTCACGTTTCCATGTACCAGTTAAAAGTCGGGCTGCAGCATTTTGAATCATTTGGAGACAATGCAGGGAGGACTGATCTATGCCCTTGTACAAAGAATTACAGTAGTCCAAATGTGTTGTGATGAAAGCATGAATAATTTTCTCAAAATCTCTAAAACAAAAATAGTTCTTCACCTTGGCTAAAAGATGTAAAAAAGCCTGACTTGACCACTTGAATTCACTTGCTTATCCAGTTACAAACGGCTGTAAAAGACWAGACCAAGATTTCTAACAGCTGTCTGATAAAATAGAGATAAAGATCCAAGGATTGCATCAGGGTCACTTCCAGTATTTCTCTGTCCAAATAAAATGACTTGGGTTTTGTTATCATTCAAATGGAGAAAGTCTAACTTCACCAAAACAGTCTAATAAAGACTGTAAAGATTCATCCTTGTTTTTTCCCATTAAAGGCATGTACWGTAAATCCGTACATCATCTGCAAATGCAGGTAAAATGACCAAAACTGAGCAAATGCAGCCAAAGTCCAAATAAAAACTTCAAAAGACCATCAATCCATTGTAAAGTCCCTTTATGAGTCATTTTTGCTTTATAGCAACTATTCAAGTCCATAAAAATAAGATCATTGGGCCTCATGCAAGAACCGTTCGTACGAACAGATTTGTTCTTAAGTTGTGCGTACGAGTGATTTAGGAGAATTTGTGGCATTCACCAATTTTCTCGTATTGTAAGATTTTTTTCAGATACGAACAAAATTCACGAGTGGTCCAGACCTGTCGTAATTTTACGAGCAGTCAGTCTGCTGTTATCCAGACGGGTTTTCTTCACTAATAACTTTATATTTCATTAGTTTGAAGATATTTTGAGTTGAAAATAAATCACACTCCATAATTATGTTGACATTATGTTATTCTGTTTGAATTGGAATTAGATTTTAAATGTAATTAATGACATAAATTGATTAAATTAAATTGGCTTTTAATGCTGTACGAACCCTTCGTACGAACAGTAAGAGAACTTTAGGATAAGAAAACGAACATGTTGCATGAGGTCCATTGTCCTTACTGAGAGGACTACTCTGGTCTTTGTGAACTGAAGTGGCCGGGTCGGTTCAGTACCTTAGAGGATGGACCACCGCCAAGTAGCGATCCAGACTGATGCAGCACAGAAAGCCGATGCTGATGTAAATGTTCTCATAGAGCAGGAAACCACACAGCTGACACAACCACTCTCTGTGTTGCCAGTCATCATCCTGAAACAGGAACCAAACCACACAGTAAATGATTCACAGATAGGACAATGAAAAAAACAKTCCACTCTCCAGAACATCGGTTTGTTACCTGGAAGATGTACTGCAGCCASAGCGGTAAGGACGCCTGGTACAGGAGGTCCGACACGGTGAGGTTCATCAGATARACTCCCAGTTCGTTCCTCTGCTTCAGCTGCAGAGCGGCGTGGTACAGCGAGTACAGGTTGGAGGGAACGCCAACCTTTCATCAAAGAGGAGCATTTTAAACAAAGGAGTAGAGCAGTTCTGGGGGGGGGGTGTCCCCCTGAGAATAACTTTGCATTTTCCAGCCATGTAAAGAACATTTTACTAAACTTTGAGCATCAATAAAACAAGATAAAACCAGTAATTCATGAAGGRAGAACARTGAAAACTAGACTTTAACCTGATAAAAAGTTATAAAAAAGAATTTGTACCTAATTTGTGGCGCCCCCTYCATGGATGGCACCCTTTGTATTTGCCTACACTGCCTATGCCATGGGCCGACCCTGTACAAGAGGCTTCATATTTGACTGATTTGGAGCAAATGAATCAACCTGCAGCCATTATTCATTTATTACAAACCCAACTGGACCTCATGTTTGTTGCAGAACTCTGCAGACTGAGTGTGGTGGTGAAAAACCACAGAAACGTGTTGTTTTGACTAAAACGGAAAGTTGCGAAACCAGGTTCATGAKAGCTGTGTGAAGCTGACACCCCACCCACGCAAAAAATAAAAACTAGTACGCGGATTGGTTAGTGCTTCGTTTGTGCAGGTTTGTGCAGTTAAAATGAGCGTTTGTGCTGTTATAGTTTTTGAGATATTAAGCATTTTTAGTGTAAGGCGATGACGTCATCGTCCCCGCAGCAACTTCCGGAATGGTGACGTCATCGGGCCAATTTTTAACTTCAAATATCTCGAAAACTAAAGCTGCACAAACGACAGTTTTTACAGCACAAACCTGCACAAACGGAGCACTAACGAACTAGCCCACTTTGGTTTACTTTTGAAGCGATATGGGGTGATGGTGAACTGTAGATGACCAAATATTTAATATTTAATATCTCGGAAACCAAAATTGCACAAACGACCATTTTAACGGCACAAACCTGCACAAACGGAGCACTAACCATTCTGACTATTTGATGAATTTTTTGACGTGGGTGGGGTGTCAGCTTCACACAGCTGTTCAAAGACAGGTCTTTTGTGGGTTTTTTTTTTTTTCCAATGAAGTTCTTTTTTCAAACAAAAGCAGTCAAACAATTAAACCACCAGTTAGAAGTTTGTTGTAACGTCCGTGGATAAAACAATGAAAAGTAAAAGTCTGGAGTTGCTCAACATGAACTCTAGATTTATTAGACGTGAATCATTTGATAAAACACAGGCTGTAGGTMACCAGCCTCAACGTCCTGCTGCTTCTCTTGAAAGATAAAAGAATGACTGATGCAGGATATCAAACTATTTTGATGATCTGGACTCTTCAAACAAAAGAACTGTCTCTGATGCAGACCTCAGCGTTTGTGCACATTTCGGTTCTCAGGCTGTAYGGATCTCACACCCACTCACCAACAGGACCAGGATGTAGACGAAGGAGAAGACGTACTGGTGGACTTCGTGGCTGATGGTGCAGTTGATCACATCCTCCTCCTCAGACATGTTAGACGTCATCGCACTACTTCATCCTGAACCCCCCCTACCTATAGAAAACACTCAGATCCTGGCGTGGGACGGGTCTCATCTGGTCTGAGACTTGCTCTCCGGTCCAGTTTCACCTGTGAAGAACAYGAGAGTTAAACCCGCTATATTTCAGTGACACCAAAAACATATTTGTACTTATTCAGCTGCGTTTCTTAAAGGAATGCATGTCGCCCGCCCTCCTGAGCTCAAAACTTCTCATTTTATTTTGAAATCTGCTCAGTTCTACTTCCTGCCCCTCTTGCCTCACACCTGTTCTGATTCAGCTGATTGATCCACACCTGGTTCCCTTCCTGTCCGACCAACATTTTAGGTGTTAATTTTTAAAACTTGTTTTATTTTGTAGTGTTTCGTCTCTTCTGTCTGCCAGAGCCCCCACGTCGCCATTGTATCTGACTTTGTTTTCACATTTTTCACTACAATTTGGCTTTAATTTATACATTTAATTCTGTTTATTAGGTAAATCATCAGCAAACTTATATTAAACAAATGTTATGCAATGATGGAAAAATATTTTAAGAGTATAAAATATGGCAAGCCCTTTGTG